CCTTTAAAAAACATTTTGTCAGAAAAACAAGATGAGCTAAACAATTGTCATTTTCCATTATTCCAAAAAACCAAAATTAGTTGAATTCTAAACCATTTTGTAGCTCTTTTCAAGTCCTACAGTATCCAAGTTTGAATTTTCCAAAATTTCAGTTTTGAAGAATTTTACATGCATTTTTCAAAATCGGAAGCATTCAAAAAAATTAAGAAAATCGACCCTCATTTTTTTTTCAATTTTTGAGCATTTCATAAAATGTATAGTTAATTGAATAATAAACCATTCTGTTGCTTTTTTTACGATCTACAGAATCTAAAATATGGTTTTCAAGATATTCCAATTTTGAAGCCGTTTTTGACAGCTACGCGGTTGCAAGTCGTTCTTTTGCTCGTAACTCGCTTCAAACCTAGGATTTTCAAAAAACTCAAGTTGGCAAAGATAGAATTTGAAAAGAGCTACAAAATGGTATAAAACATGACCACCTTCAAAAATTCGATACTTTGAAAAAATCGATTTTAAATGCCTTCCCAATTTTTTTCCTAACCATGTTTGATACCATTTTTTAGCTCTTGTCAAGCTCTATGTTTTGCAGTCTGATTTTTGAAAAATGTAGAGTTCGAAGCATTTCACAAGCCAATGAATGGAGCTCAACAGTTTTTAGTCGGTGAGCTACGCAATAGCAAGCTCCGGCTGTTGACCGGTAGTGTATAAGTCATCTTCGTTTACTTGTAACTCGCTTCAAACTCAAGATTTTTAGAAAACTCAAAATGGCAAAAATAGAGCTTGAAAAGAGCTACAAAATGATCAAAAACATAACCACCTTCCAAATTTCGATACTTTGAAAAAATCGATTTTAAATGCCTTCCCAATTTTTGAACCCAGTCATGTTATTTAACATTCTGTAGCTCTTTTCATGTTCTACAGTATCCAACAAGAATTTTCGAACAGTTCAGAGTTTGAAGGGAGCTGAAAAGAGCTACAAAATGGTATACAATTTCTGTAGTTTCGAATGCTTCAAAGTTTCCAAAAATTGAAAAAAAAAATTTTTGAAAATTTTTTTTCCAATTTTTGCAATTATATGAAAATAAAAAATAATCAAATTATATATTATTTTGTAGCTCTTTTCATGTTCTACAGTATCCAATGAGAATTTTTGAAAAGTGTAGAGTTTGAAGGGAGCTAAATCAATCTGATGCATTAGTTATGACGCATAACAAGTATCACCTGCTGTTGTTTTTCTAGGTTTTTTTTTGCTTTTCTTTAATTCATCGATCCGTTATTTCATTTTTTTTTCCAAAAAACGCGTTCATGATATGAACTTCATATTAGATTTCACCTATCCCAAACTGCTAATCCTCTACTATCATTTGATAGGAATTTTATCAGTTTTACTAAACACCCTTGGAATTTATCTCCTTCAAACGCAATGCAAAAAACTTGGCACTTCTCGTTATTGGTTATTATCTTATCAGGTCCTGTGTTATATCACTGATATCTTTTTTACCCTTCTAATGCAACCGGTCCCTTTGTACCCGTTGGTGGCAGTGTATACTGTAGGAGTACTGTCAGATTGGTTTGGCATACCACCTGTGGCTTTGAGTTATATCGTTTGTGATTTGATTGCTGTGCAGTTTACATTTCTCGCTGTTTCATTTATCAAGAAACATAGAACTGTGGCATCGTTATCCAACTCGTTGGCTTTTCCAAAACATTCGGATATTGTGATTCTGGTTGCATTGGTTTTGGGGGTTGTACTGGGAGATTCTTATGTGTTATCAATGCGTTTATCCAGAGAGGATCAGTGGAAACTTGTTAATGAGGTTTTTAAGAGAAATATAAGGTCCATAAGGCCTCAAGAGCTACAAGGTGGCTAGAGGCCTCAAAACAGTCAACTTCAAATTATTATATCTCGGTTACTGTAAGAGATATCAAAATCTGTCAACTGACAAAATGTTTATCATAATATCACCTACATTTTATCAATTGACAGATATTTTTTTGTATCTTTGATGGCAATTGAGATAAGTGAGCTCAAAGTGTGAGCTCTTGAATTCTTGGTCGCGTAACTAAATAGAAAAGAGAATCTGAAACTTGAAAAAAACCTACATTGCTCTAAAAAGTCCAGAAATCCTGACCATTTTTTAGAGAATCAAAAAATTCAAATCTCTAAAACTTTACTCAAAATTTAGGAAATCAGGAAAATGAATAAGTTTCTCATCAAAAACCAGGAAACAAGAAAAACCTTCCTCGACCCTATATCTCGGGTTACTGTAGAAGATATCAAAGTTTTGTTTACTGATAAAATATTGCTGATATTATGATAAACATTTTATCAGTTGACCACTTTTTGATATCTCATACAGTAACCGAGATAATCGGGGTTAATCAAGCCTACTGTATTTCCTCTAATAGAAGATCACCCAACACGTGCTCTGTGAACTCAATTATTTCAATTTCTGTAAAAGATATCACCAATCTGTAAACTGATAAAATGTAGGTCATAGTATGATAAACATTTCACCAGTTGACCAACTTTTGATACCACTTACAGTAACCGAGATAATCGGGGTTAATGCCTACCGTACATGCTCTAATAGAAGCCTACCCTACGCGCGTGCCTCGAGCTCAATTATCTCGGTTACTGTAAAAGATATCAAAAATCTGAAAGCAAAAAAATGTTACTGATATTATGATAAATATTTTATCAGTTGACTTATTTTTGATATCTCTTAAAGTAACCGAGATAATTGAGGTTAATCAAGCCTAATGTATTTCCTCTACAAGAATATCACCCTACACGTGCGTTTTGAGCTCAATTATCTCAGTTACTGTCAGAGATATCAAAAAGTGACCAACTGATAAAATGTAGCTGATATCATGAGAAACATTTTATCAGTTGACGACTTTTTGATATCTTTTACAAAAACTGAGATAAGACTTAAAGTTAGCAGTGTGCAGGCAGCAAGAGTCCCTCCAAACCATTAACTTCGAACCTTCATATCTCGGTTACTGTAACAGATATCAAAAAGTTGCCAACTCATAAAATATAGACAAAATAATGATAAACATTTTATCAGTTGACTACTTGTTGTTATATTTTACACTAAGCGAGATAAATTGAATCTAGCAAACTTTCAGCTCGTCCCGCACTACGTCGATGGTTTCCGATCGCTTCCCAACTTTGAAATCTTCCCAAAAACCTCTCAAATGAACTATTCCCTATATATCCTATTAGCATTTGCAATTTCCGTTCTCACACCAATGATATTTGTTGTTCTGGATACATTTCGAAAATTGCATCAATTGAAACAAAAAATTGCTAAAGTCAACTATCAAAGGCACGCCGAAGGAGTGATCTGTCTGATAGTACAAGTTGGGACCGCCGGTTTATCAATTGCTCCAATCATTCGATTGGGAATATCGATTATTTTCGATCATCCAGATGCTCAAAAGGTCTCTGAGTTCTGTTTGGCATGGTTTTCTACCCATTCTTCGTTTAACATGATTGCCTTGCTAATGTTTTTCCCACCATACAAGATGTTTATCAAGAAACATACTAAAGGGTGAGCCTAATTCACACAATTTTCAGAATTTTCTGACCGAATAAAATGGAGCTAATAGAAATTTAAAAATCCCTACAAAATGATACAATTTTGAGTACTGTATCTTGTCTATGAACAAAGTTACAAGCCAAAAACAATCTGAGTTACGCGGTTGCACTTTTGGTTTGCGGCTTCTAATTTTGCTCAGCGACGAGATATAGTAATTCAAACAACATTTTAAAAATCGAATTTCAAATACTGAGAGCTTCAAAATGAGCCCAAACACGACTAGGCTCCGCCCACTTTGAAACTTCTCGCCAGCACGCGACGCGTCGGAAAAATGAGAGTGGGCGGAGCCTAGTCGTGTGTGGGCTCATTTTAAAGCTTTCAGCGTCCGGAACTTTAATTTGTGACTCAATTTTCAAAATGTGAAGTTTCTAGCGAGGGAATGACCAAATAACAAGTCACAAAGCTGTGACCTCGTAGTTTAGACGGTTTTTGGCTTGTAACTTTGTTCATAAACAAGATACAGTAATCCAAAATATATCATTTTGAAGGAATTTTAAAATTCTATTAGTAAAAATTTATTTGAACTAAAAATATCAAATTTGGGAGAAGTTATGTCCTTTTTTTCCAACAAGGCGTTTTGTTTCAGATTAAAAGCCAAGTTTGCGTCGGAGCGAAGTTCAGCGACCATGCTTTGAATAATCACTTTTTGAGCATTTTTCTCCGGTTTTTAAAAAATTACAATATGTGAAAATAAAGATACAGTAACCCGGACAAAACAATTTGTTTAAAAAAAATTATTTTTCAATATTTTTCATTGGATATCAGTCAAGTTTTCATACAATACTAGTCTAAAATTTTTCGATTTGTCTGAAAATTTCAGAGGTTACCAAACAAAGCTAGCGCTTCATTTCTCTAGTTGACAACTTTTTCCTATTTACTGTAGTTTTTGAGATATGCGCCTTTAAACTTTCTTGACTTCCAATAGTCAATTTTTAAAGTTTAAAGGCGCATATCTCCAAAACTACGGTAGCTATCAAAAAGGTTTCAGTTTTAAAATTAAAGCTCTATTTTTGTTTAGTATTCTCTGAAATTTTCATACAAATAGAAAAATGCTGGACTAGACTTGTAAGACCCCAAAGTTACCAGACCTTCATAAACACTTTGCTCGTCAAGTTCGGTGTATTAGGTACACCATGACGCCAACTTGCGGACTTGAAGATTATTGGCTATTTTAACAGTTTCTGACCGTATTTTTGACCTTTTTGACTTGAATTTCTAGTTTTTTTTTAGTTTTTTTTTCTTTTGTGTTCTTTTAAAATGGTTCGCCTAATGGACGGGTCAATGTCAGTGCAACTGAAGCAGTTTGGATATGATTGTAATGTAAGTAGAAATCGGTAATTAAAAAATTCAAATTGGATACTGTAGAGCTTGAAAAGAGCTACAAAATGCTATACAATTTGTGTGGTTTTCAATTTTTCGAAAGAGTCAAAATTCGGAAAATAAAACCTTAATTGAATTTTTCCGATTTTTGTCAACATTTTCTAATGCATGTAAAAGTCTCAAGCTTCTGAATTAAAAAAAAAAATAAAACTGGATACTGTAGAACTTGAAAAGAGCTACAAAATGGTATACAATTTGTGTAATTTTAAATTCTTCAAAATTTCCAAAAATTGAAAAAAAAAAGTTTGAAAAAAATTTTTTTAAACCAATTTTTGCAATTATATGAAAACAAAATATAATCAAATTATATATTATTTTGTAGCTCTTTTCAATTTCTACAGTATCCGATTTGAATTTTTCAAAAATTTCTATTTTCAAAAAAGTTACAGGCCCTGGAAAATAAGCCACACTGGTCATTCCCAGCTAATAGCGACATGCACCTTATGGAACAAGTTTATCGATCGTAAGTTGATTTTTTTTTTGAAATTGAATTTTTTTGAAAAATGCAGATTCCTGGATCTTGGTTCAAAAATTATCACAACGAACACTTATCATTTTGGGAGTACTTTGGACCGAAAATTGGACAAAAATGAGGAGAATTTTGAGAAAACCTGCAATCTACTAGTCAATCTGGCTAAAGAATACGAGGGAATTCGAATTTTTGGGTCCGTTGGAACCCTGGCGACTTTTTATCATGATTTATCAGAATACAGCGGGAAATATATGGATTTGCCGGATGCTGAGGTTTTTTAAAAATGAAAAAAATCAAATTTTTGAAATTTTCAGACAACTGCTTTCAACTATTTCCACAAGATTTTAACAATTTTTCAAGGAAAAACGAAAATTCGAAATTTGATTTTCGAAACGATTCCATCGGCTCTAGAAGCTACAGTAGCCCTGGATGTGCTGGAGCAATTTCCAGAAATGAAGGCGATTTTCAGTTTTACGTTCAAGGTAATTTTCAAATCTTTTCAATTATCTCGGTTACTGTAAATGATATCAAAACCTTGTCAGCTTATAAAATGTTTATCATACTATGACCTACATTTTATCAGTTGACAGATTTTTCATATATCTTACGGTAACCGATATATTGAGTTTGAAATGCAAATTATCTATAATTGATCTTTGAGCTTAATTATCTCGGTTACTGTTAGAGATATCAAAAATTAATCAACTAAAAAATGTTTCTCATGATATCAACTACATTTTATCTGTTGGTCACTTTTTGATATCTCTCACAGTAACTGAGATAATTGAGCTCAAAACGCACGTGTAGTGATATTCTTGTAGAGGAAATACATTAGGCTTGATTAACCTCAATTATCTCGGTTACTTTAAGAGATATCAAAAATAAGTCAACTGATAAAATATTTATCATAATATCAGTAACATTTTTTTTGCTTTCAGATTTTTGATATCTTTTACAGTAACCGAGATAATTGAGCTCGAGGCACGCGCGTAGGGTAGGCTTCTATTAGAGCATGTACGGTAGGCATTAACCCCGATTATCTCGGTTACTGTAAGTGGTATCAAAAATTGGTCAACTGGTAAAATGTTTATCATACTATGACCTACATTTTATCAGTTTACAGATTGGTGATATCTTTTACAGAAATTGAAATAATTGAGCTCACAGAGCACGTGTTGGGTGATCTTCTATTAGAGGAAATACAGTAGGCTTGATTTACCCCGATTATCTCGGTTACTGTATGAGATATCAAAAAGTGGTCAACTGATAAAATGTTTATCATAAAATCATCAATATTTTATCAGTATGCAAAATTTTGATATCTTCTACAGTAACCCAGATAATTGAGCTCATAAAGTTTCGAAATTCGTTTCAGGAAAACGCTCATCTCCGCCACGGGGAACACATTGAGACCATCCTTGTAAAACTAAAAAAATCGAAACAAATTTTCGGAATTGGGATCAATTGTACGGATCCGGAAAATGTGTTATCAGTGTTAAAATCAGTCAAAAATTTGGGATTTCCAGAAATTTTCGTGTACCCAAATATGGGAGACTCCAGATTTTTAAGTGGAAAGTAAGTTTTAGAATTTCAGAATTTTAGAATTTTAGAATTTTAGAATTTTAGAATTTAAAAAATTTTCAGAACCGAAAATTTCGATTTATTCGACAAGGAACTTGTCGAAAATTGGGTGAAAAATGGGACCACTGCAATTGGAGGATGTTGTGGAGTGACAGAGAACCAGATGAGGATTCTGAAGAAATTGGTGGATAATTTGAATTCTTGATTTTGTAAATTTTATTTTTGAAAAAATGAAAATTTTCTTTTTTTTTTCAGAAATGTTTACCTTAAAGGAGGCCAGACATCAAACAAAAAGTTTCCCTGATATTTTGCATAGAGAACCCCCATGAGGGGTTGAACTCATGACAGGCAGCTCAGGGGTACAGGGTCGCTACCGGCTGAGCTACGGGGGCGCGAAGGCGCCTGACGATCGATGGTCTACATAAGCGCGGCGCGATTTCGTCCCCCGAACTGTCCCCCGAAATTTTTGCTGTCTCGCCTCCTTTAATTGACACAATATTATTTCAATAAAACAAAATTTGAAAATTAAAATAAGTGAAACAGTAAAATTTTGAAATTCTTCAAAAAACCTAATTTTTGGTTTTTTTGAACCATAAACCTGGTGTTCACAAATTTTAGGCATTTTCAAAATCATGATTCTGAGGAAAACTGATTTTTTTAATCAGCTGAAGTTTTGAAAAAAAAACTTTTGAATCAGTATTTTTTTTATTTTGAATTTTTCGAAAACTATTTTTTTTTCTAGAAGGAATTTCGATTTTTCAAAAGAATTTTCACATTTTCTTGATATTGGAGCAAAACAATTTTGTGCAATAACAGAAAAAAAAATGTTTTAAAAAAGTTCAAAAAATTTTGAAACAGTGACTTATTGAATTTTTTCCAAAATTGTTATTTGAATTTTCCAGTCGAATTTTCAGTGAAAAATTTGAAAAAAAAATTGCAAACTGGCATTAAAATTAACTTTATAAAAAAATTTGATTTAGAAAAAATGAAACAGTAATTTTGGAATTGTTTTCCCTTTTTGTATTGCAATTTAATTTTTTGAATCAAAAAATTGATTTTCAAAAGTTTTGAATCTCAAATTCGATTTATTCTGCGAACATGCTTCTAACATCGAAATAACAAAAAATTCAGTGAAAAAAATTTTGAAACCGAAATTTTTCTTGGAATTTTCAAATTTTTGAGCGCGAAAAACATCAATTTGTCATTTTTCTCATATTCTAATCATTATCGATTAAACCGTTTTATGTTCACTTTTTCAAAATTTACAGGATTTTCAAATTTTTTCCGGCTCTCATATATTTTCAGAAACTGAAAACCTTTAAATTTTCAAGATATTGAAACCAAAAAAAAAACTTTCACTGTTTCAAAAAAATCTGAATAGCGGAAACCAAGATTTACAAAATGATATGCAGAGGCTGTGACTACAAAACATAATTTTCGAAAAATTGGGTTATATTGTAATTTCTGTTGAAAACTAGCTCAATTAGGTTTTCAGCATGTGAGTTTAGAATTGAAAAATCGCGACAGTGCAAGTACTGTACATCATTTCGTAGATCTTGGTTTTCAAAACTGAGATTCTTTGAAACAGTAGAATGATTTGCCAGATGCCAGAAGGAAAATTTCAACATTTTGACATACTTGTAATCCGGGCCTTTGCCGGGCCTTCGCGGGCCCTGAAACAATATATGGAAGCCGGAAAAAAACCAAAAAACCTGAAAATTTTGAATTTAAGAAGTTAGAATAAATAGGTTTAACTGATTTTTTTGCATTAACTGGGCAAGTGATAAAATGTGATGGTTTCCGTTAGAAATCGAAAATCTTGAATGTTTCAGCATTTTGAAATCTAGAAAAACTTTTACTGTTTCAAAAAATTTTAATACTTGAAATCGAGATTTATCAAATAATCTACACATAACAAGATTTCCAATTAATCATATTTTTCCACAAAACAACATTTTTGAAAAATAAGGTTTTCAGCGGGTTTTCAGAGTCACATGTAGTTTTAAGTCGGAATTCGAATACAGTAATTTCTGTTGAAAACTAGCTCAATTAGGTTTTCAGCATGTGAGTTTAAGATCGAAAAATCGCGACCTTGCATTTACTGCGCATCATTTCGTAAATTTTGATTTTCAGTACTAAGATTCTTTGAAACATTAAAAGTTTTTTTCAGGAATCAGATAATGAAAATTTCAAGGTTTTGTTTGTTTGCATACTTATGGGCCACCTTGTAATTAACGCTGGCAAAAACATGTTTCAATTTCAGAAAATCAGAAATCTGAGAAAATCACCACAATTTATCATTTCATTGTTAAAGCAAAAAATCGATTGAACCGTTTTATTAAAAAACTTTTTTTTTCAAAATTTACAGGATTTTTGGTTTCTTCGGCTTCCATATATTTTCAGAATTGAAATCTTAAAATTTTCAGTATTTTTAAATCTAGAATAAAACATTTTACTGTTTCAAAAAATCTCAATATTCCAAATCAAGATTTACAGAATGATTAGCAGAATGCTTATGCACAAAACATCTTTTTTGAAATATTAGATTTTTGGTTCCAGAGCCATAGAAACTTTCAAGTCTTGAAATTTTGAAGTCAGAATATGGAAAAAAAAACTCAAAAATCTTAAAAATAAGAAATTAAAAATCGCATATGTGCCTTCTGCGAATCATTTTATAAATCTTGATTTTCAATATTTGAAAACTTCGAAACAGTAACAATTTTTCAAAGTTTTAAAGCAAAAACTGGTAGAGGAGCAGTTCAAGGAGCTGTTGATGGAGCACTGCCAGCAGTTGGTGGTGCTGTTCAGGTAATTAATTACTCTGTTAATTACCCTAATTGCTATATTTTCAGAGTGTTGGTGGAGTTGTCCAAGGTGTTGCTGGCATGGTTCCAGAACTTCCAATTGGAGGAGCCCCACAACCATCTTAATAATTTCAGATTTTTTTTTGAAATTCGAAAATGTGTACATTCAATAAACGTTTACCATCGATTAATTACAGATTTTCACATTTAGAATCTAGACTGTCTGAAATTGGAATTGTGAAAGTTTCGAAATTGCCAGCGTCCATCAATTTTCACAATGTCAAAATATTGAAATTTACAGTATTTTGTTGAATAACGTTTAGAAAAATTGTTACTGGTTCAAAAAATCTCAATATTGAAAATCAATATTCATGAAATGATGAGTGCTGCATTGAACGAATTCAGAGTATTTTCAAACTAAAACTTTACATTATTTTTTCATCAGGGTCCCTTTTTTATGGATTCATTTCATTTTTTGTCTTCACCTTGTCACCTTTATGTCCAAGTATCACTCACACATTACCTTAAAATTTTTGAGGTTTTTATATCAATCGATCCAGAATTTTGGGTCGGGAAGAAAACTCTCTTGGAGGATAGTCCGAAAATCACTCGTTCTTTAGATATACCGTAAAACCTCTAATAGAACGACACCCGGATCGTCCACTTTGAGCCTATATATCTCACTTCTTTTGAAAGATATCAAAAAGTGGTTAACTAGTAAAATGTTTATCAGGATATCAGCAACATCTTACTAGTTAGCCACTTTTTGAT